TCTGTGCAAACAGGGCCATGCCTGCTGCACCCCTCGGCCGCTCCTGGCGCACACCCCCCGGCCCCCACCCTGGCCAGGCCTGCCTCTGGCAGCCTTCCTGGATCCCGGGTTTACCCCCTGGCTTCTCGCCCACGGTCCCCCAGCCCAGGGACAAGGTGAGCATCTGCATTCGCTCCGGCGCGGGACCAGACGGGCGGTGCTCTGCCGCCATCTAGCGTGCGGCGGGGGAAGTGTCTCCAGAATCCAGCAAAGCCCACCAAGTTCCAGAATTCCACTTCTTGTTCTGGCTTCAGCTCACACACCTGGGCACTTACAGGTGTGACTGGTTCAGAGAGGAGACGCTTGACAAGAGCTAACACTGAACACCTCTGTGTGCCGCCGCTCGCCTCTAACCATTCCGGTTGAGTCAGGTGATCAAGCATTTGAGCTGGTTGATCTGTCCTCCACACGCACTGGCAAACTTAGGGTGTGCAGGCCCATAAACCTGCAGGCGCCTCTGGGGATCAGCACCCGCCATCCTGCCGCCCTAAGTGGTTGAAATTGGCCCCGGAAGACCAGAGTGTCCTGCCGGGAGAAGTTAAAGCAGCTTGTTCCTGTAGGGAGTGGGAGGACAGCAGAGTCACCGGGAGCTGCAAAGCCCTATGTCCTGCACACGCCGGGCCAGTGAGCTCAGAGTTCTGGATGCAGGGGAGGGGCCGCAGGGATTCATAACGGCCCATGTGTCAGAGGGAGGAAAGGTTCAGCAAGGAGGTGCCGGCGCTGTACCCCCCCCCCCCCAAAACAATGAACTACAGGTCGACCAAACGCGCTCAGGGAAAGTTCTGGATCGCAGGGAAGCGGCAGCACAGGTTGCAGAGCTAAGCAGGCACCGGCCGCCCCGGGAGGAGCGTCGTTACCGGCTTAAAGTAGATGGTGATCATCAGAGCTTGTGAGGAAAACCCCGATGACCACAAAACAAAGCCTGTCACAGACACCCCAAGGGCCAAGAGAAAAGAATCCAGAGCAATGCGCAGCGGAGGGAGACAGCAGCTGCCAGAACGGAGCTTACCTGGAAGGCAGGAGAACGCTCTGGAAGGACAGTGGAGAGTCCCCTGAGTCAGCAAGAAAGTGTGGGCTGCAGCGGGGTTCCCTCCCTCTCAGGCTTCATCCTCAAAGGGGGGCGGGTAGGATGGATGACCCCCAAGCCCAACTTTGGCCCCAGCCCCCTGGTACGAGACATCCAGAGGCCCAGTCTTGGCGCCGCTTGGTCCAAGGTGTGGCGGCAATGATCCACCAGGCCTTGCCCACTTCTCCCCTCCGGGCGCTCACCTGCGGCCTTGACCGTGTTCACGCAGAAGCGGGAGCGCGGGTGCGGGCTCGGGTCTGACTATGGACACCTGGAGCAGCGAGCGGTGCGTGCGTGCTGCGTGTGCACGTGTAAGGATGCACACGCGTGACGGCGCACACCCGAGCCCAGAGCCGGGATAGAGCGGCGGCAGGGGGAGGATGAGCGCTGTGACCACTGACACCAGAGAGTGCCCAGAGGAAGAGTCCCTGGGTGGGGGGGCCTCCTGCTGGCCCAAAGGGCCAAAGCGCAGCACTAGGAAGCTCTGCAGCCAGCCCCTGCAGCTCGAGCTCAAACCCAGCCCTGGAGCTGAGCCCCAGGGCACGGCAGACCCCCCCTGTCCCGCCCGCCCGCTGCTCCCCTCAGCAGTGTGTTGCAGTCCATCCGCCTGTTCTGCTCCCCACTCTGTCTGGTGAAGCCTCTCACCCCCACATCCGGCCTGTGGCCAGCTCTGTAGGCATAAATAAATCCATCTAAAATGATTCCCTGGGGCCACCCTCCCGCCTGCCCCCGCTTGCCTCAACGCTCAGGGCCACACGGGGTGAAGCCAATTGAGGCCTCACGTCAAGAGCCCAACTGACACCAGGGAGTGTGTCACCCGCAGGCCCGGCCCTTCCTTGCTCCCCACAGAGCTTGGCCCCAAGCAAGTCTGAGCTACTTCACATTCCACTGTGCTGCCAGTTCTGTTCAGGCCAAACCGGCTGCTGGCCGTGGCGCACGGGGCTCTTGGAGGTGGTCGCTGGCTGGCACGTGTGGTTACTGACATGCGTGCGGGCGTCACGTTGTTCTGCGTGGTTGTGTGTGGCACCCTGTAGGGCCGTGAAAAAGCACATCAGACCTACGTCTTGCCACCTACTGTTCTTCCAGCTCATTCTCACATGACTCCGGGCTCTGAGAGAGCCTGGTGAGCAAACATGGCGGCTCTCCCAGCAAAGCCCCGTATTCAACCAGCAACCAGTGAACCCACTGGGCTGGACTTTCCTCTCGGGGCAAAATGTACTGTGGAACATGAACGTGTTGCATAGGACGCAGGACAAAACTAAACTGGACCTCAGTGGCCTCCAAAGGGCTGTGTCTGGACTTTGGTGGAAGCCCTTTTCCCGGAATGTCAGCTCTGACTTCCTAGAAGGCCATGCGGTCTCCATCTCTGGCCGGAGCTCGCTCTTCAAGAGGAGTGCCTCTTCTATTTCTAGCCTGAAGGATTACAGAGACTTGCCTGGACCATCCTTAACTCCCAGTGTCTGTCCCCCCGGGCCACGTCAGCACCGGAGGTTTGCAGCCCACAGACTCAGTGACCAGACGCCACCAGGGCTGGGTGGGGGCCGTCAGCTGCCTCAGGCCACCTAACTGCACCCAGAAAGGAAGCGGAACCTTGAGGCCAAAATATGGTGATGAGGGGGGAGGCCGGGAAAATGAAGAAAGTGGTGCTTTTGGGACCTAACAGCCGGGTCCAGCCCAGGGATCACAGGTAGAATTGCCGGGGGAAGGACGACCTGAACACACTCCACAACCCCAGGCCAGAGAGCCACACCAAGGACTACAAACCCACTGGAGTTAGCAGCCAGGCTCAATACACCACACACGTGCACACGCACACACACGGTGGAGTCAGCAGCCAGGCTCAGTACACCACACACACACACACACACACACACACACAGCTCAGTACACCACACACACTCTCAGGCCCTTGGTACACACACACACACACACACACACAGAGCTCAGTACAACACACACACACACACAGAGCTCAATACACCACACACACTCATAGGCCCTTGGTTTTCGCTGGCTCTCGCTCCTGGGCTTCCAGCTCAGAGGAACCTGCGGGATGGTTCGCAGATCTCTTCCTGCTGAGCTCTGCATGTCTCCATGTGCCCTCTCTGGTAAACAACCCTTCTCACCCGCTGGTGGCGCCTGCGGCGGGTCTCAGTCCCTTCAGGCGTGTGGGTGAGGACCCGCTGTCAGGCCCCATTTCACAGTGGGGCTGCCCTGTACCAGAAGCCTGGACTTCCGGCGGTCTGAGCTCACACACCACGCTCTGTCTAAGTATTAGGCTATTTTCCATATAAAGAGATCTGTGTGGCTCATCAGCTAGGTCCCACGCACAAAGGGCTCCAGCAGCTGCTTTTGTCAGCCACTGGGCAGCTAAGTGCCAGCGGGTCCCACGAAGCTGCGGTCATGACAAGAGCTTTATAGAGCCACTTCAAAGAGCAGTTCTTGCATGGCGGTCCGCAACAGACATGCTCTGCGGCGCGGGACCCGGCTGAAGTCGGGCTGGCACGCAGCAAGCCACCTGCTACTTAGGGTCAGCGGCCGCCAGGCGGCAGTGGCCAAAGGCCACATGGCCCGGAAAGCTTGAAATACTGTTTGGCCCTTTATCGTTTTCGTTTTGTTAGCAAGCGACTGCGGGGTACCTAGGACCCCAAACAAATGAAATGGACCGTATGAGCCAGAACAGGGGCCGCATCCGCCACATGAAGACAAAGGAAACTTTTTTTTAATTATTTTATATATATATATATATTTTTTTTTTCCTTCTTCACCTTGTACATTTTTCCATCTCGGCTGTAACCCCCCGGACTTCCCACCACCAGCTCACCCCTGAGCCATCACCACGGTCCTGTGAGCTCTTCCTGCCCCAGTTTTGATCCCGTTCCCCTGTCCACCCCAATAAAAGGTCTCCAGGTTATAGTTGTTGATTTTCATTTTTACTTCATTACGATTGCTTTTTTTTCCTGATCCCTGACACTCCTGCTACGAGTGAAACCACAGAGGAAACTCTCAGTGTGAGGTGCACAGAGAGAAAGGCCTGTCCTTCCCAACGGGACGCCCAGATGACGGCTCCCCCTGGGCAAACACCCAGCCAAGCGGGGTAGGCCCACAGTGGGGCCGCCGGGGCCCGGAAGCCTGCCAGCCTGTGGCACCTCTGGTGGGGACCCACATGAGACCCAGACGTCCCAGAGACCCGGGCCGAAGCAGACGCCACATGGGCCGAGGCCGCCACTGTCAGCGCTGTCAGCCGCCGCGTGTCTCCTCTTCGAGGCCGAGTTGGGCCGCAGGAGCAAGGGGGTCTCTTTAGCCCGCCTGCCCGGGTGTTCCACAGCTCCTGGGCCCGCCGCCGGGGTGGGGCGAGAGGGGCTGCAGTCTGGGGACAGCAAGGATGAACACAAACGTAACGGCCACTGGCTCAGAGCTGCTGAATACGAAGGCCGACACGCGGCTGGGGCCCAGGCCCCAGCGCACCCCTGCAGCCTCCCCACCTACCACCCGTGTACCCGAAACCGGACGGTGGCCGAGCACCGTGGACGCTGCTCCTGCCCTTTGCCAGCTGCTGCGTCCGAAGAACGGAGGCCACAGGCAGGTGCGGCGCAGGCGACCTCCAGCTCCCTCTCTGGAGCCGGGGTTCCGTCTGAGATGAACCCCACATACAACGCTCCAGAGCCCCAGGACCTGTTCCTCCAGAGAACCTGCCATGTCCTGAGAGCACCTGCAAGATGCTCGTCAGCATTCAGGGCTTTTAGGAAAAGCAAAAGCAGAGGATGTGACGTCAACAGGAACTGCCCGCTGCCTTACACAAGTCCACGTAAAGCAAAGCTCAGTTCAAAAACATCTCGGAAGGCTCAGAATGTGCGAGGGGACACACCCTCCCCCGGGGAGGCCAGCCCCCGGGCGAGGTCACGCGGAAGCTCTTGGCAGCCGGTTCAGGGCCTCGGCAGACGCCTGCAGGATCTGCAGGGCTTCGGTCCACAACGCTTCCACCAAAGTTAGTTGGCTGGCCAAAGCTCCTTCTTCAGTTTTCATGTAAGAAATCTGGAAATTATTTCAAAATTACTTGTTATGGGAGTGAAATCCACACCAGCATGTGGCCACTCTAGATGCATAACTCTGGGGCTTCGAGTCCATCACGTATACCCGACAGCAAGCCACCCCACCTCCAGAACTGCTCCACCTGCCAAGCAGAAACCACCACGGCCCACGCCCAGCCGCCCCAGGCCCCAGGAACATCTGTTCTTCTTCCTTTCTGCTTCTGATTCTTCCTGCTCGAGAGCATCACACGCGTGGTGGTCACCGTATTCCGGCTTATTTCACTCAGCCTCGTGTCCTCAAGGCTCATGACCATTACTTCTTTAATCCCAGTAATGCTTCCATGGCAAGGACCTGCTTTCTCATTGAACTAAAACACTTACTAATTAAAAAATAAAAGGGAACTCATACTTTAAAACCTATTACTAAGAACGCACGTAATGATTTTACCTATCAAGCGGTATACAAACCAATGGTTAAGTCAAAAAAACAAGATTGCCTCAACGCTCACTTGCATCACTGTCCACTACGCAGTGCCCCAAAATAAGGCCTAGCCCCCCAGCGACACGCATCCAGCACATTTAGCAGCGCACCTGCTCAAGGGCAGCGTCAGCCTCCTCCGCAAGACAGCGGCATATTTCCCGGGCTACGTCCAAGCTCGCCTTCTCGTTTGTCTCTGAGATCATCTCCCCACGAAGCACTTTTTTCCAGCTCGTACTAGAAACAAAATGTCAGTGAGATCACTTCAGCAGGCTCGCGAACGCAAAGGCCGTGGCTGCAGCCGCCGCGGTCCCGTGCTCTCCCCTCACTGGCGTTCCTGCCGACACCCCCGCGCAGAACTTACATTTCTCCGGGCTCCAGACACAGCAGCTTCAGAGCGGTGAGCAGCCTCCAGGACGGGCCCTCCCGGCCGAAGGTCAGGTTTCTACAGGGGGAAGACAAGCAGGGGCCCGGCGGCCCGTGGGGGCGTGCCCGACGCAGCCGAGCGCACATCACAGGGCTGCTAAACCTTATGGCGCCTGGGACCTTCGTCAAAGGAACCAGAGAAAACTAAGTCTGAACTGGGACACGGGTCCGAGCTCGGGGCGAGAGGAGACAGAAGACTCCAGCCGTCCTGAGGCTCCAACAAGGGACCCGCCAGACACCGCCCTCTGCAGCCAAACGCAGCCACCGAGGTCAATCGCAGGGCCTGAGCCTCCTGCTCCCACCTAGTGGGGAAGCGCCGAGCCCCGAGGCTGCACCCCTGACTGGCGGCTGAGGGCACCGACTGCCCAACCAGTCAGACACGCTCACCCCAGCTCACCCACGCTCACGGGGCCCAGGGTTTAGCTCTCGCCAGGTCCCCGCGTCGTTTCTTGCAGAGCATCTCCCCTCTACCACCAACCACGAGTGCACGCACAGGAAGCGCTGGTGAGGAGCCACCTGGCCTCAGGTGGTTCGGCCAGAGGTGGGGGGCACAGAAGCAGCCCCGTAGTCGTTCATCGAACTTTCCCGAAGGAATGGGGGACTTACTCTACAAGGTCATGATCCTTTACAATGGAAAGCTTTTTGCTCATCTGTTTCTCTTTTGACGGAAGATACCTACGAAGGACATCTACACACAGGAAAAACAGATTCAGGTGCCTTCTGACAGTGCGAACCTTTGCTCCTCGACTTTCCTTCCCATTAGGCATCTAGACACGTCAATGGTTTTACCCAATTCATACCCAAAAAGTCTATTCTTTGACTCCAATTCAGTGAATCATTACTTGGCCCTTGAAAAGCCACAAGCACTCTCAAGACCTGAGGCGAAACTTCCGCGACCTCAGCTATGCGCACTTTCAGCAAACCGACAGCTAAGTCAGAAGCTAAGACAGAAGCAGGGCGCTGGAAGCAGCCCCCCAAAAGCACAGACTCTCCAGTGACAGTGTTCACAAGTCTTAAAAGGCAGAATTCACAAGCGCCCAGATATCAGTGACTGCCATCATTAAAAAAAAAATCACCGACAACTGAAAGGGAATACGCAAAAATTATTAAAGCTATTTGGAGAGCAGGATGAGGACGGATTTCCAAATTTGGAAGTTCTTTACATTCCGATGCTTTCACTTCTATCCGGCAGGAGACACAGCAGTGGCCGAGTTCAGCCCTCGCCTAAGCCCACCCGACTCACCCCCCTCGGTGGTCGGGACAGACGGCCCCACCTTCCGTGACATAGACGCAGGCGTGAGGGTTGGGGCTGCAGACAAAGCCGTACTCCAGGAGCAGCCGCTGGCTGTCGTGGGGGCCGTAGCAGATGAAGACCTGCGCATGCCGCCCCCAGCGGGCGCCCGTCCTGACTTCATAGCGGCGCGTTTCCTCGTTAAACGCCGCTTTGACCTAGAAAGGAAAATGGTGAAAGGTGTTTTTAAGGACAACGGTGCAGAGGGCCAGGGCCGCCTTCAGCCACAGCCGCACCTGCTCCGCCCACCAAGGAGTCAGGGAGTCCGCAGGGCTACAGGGGCGCTACTGCGCCCCAAGGGAGTGAGCGGGGTGGCGGTAGGGCAGGTCCTGTGTGCGCACGGGGGCCACAGCAGGCCTCACAGGGCACCCCACAGGCCGTGAGAGGCAGGTTTGTAGTAACCGGGCGGGACCTCTGGCTGGCACAGAGTGAAAGCTGCTAGGCTGAGGACGGGGGCACTGATGGGCACCTGGGGCGTGGACACATGGGCTGGGGTCACTGGTGCCCCTGGACTGCTCCGTATAACCGCTGGTTGGTGCATAAGTGCACCCAGAGTCCAGTAATAAAGCCAGCCACGGTCAGCCCCAGGACATGTGTCCAGCAGGCTCCTCTCATCGCCGCCAGCCACAGAAGCAGCGGCTCCCCTGGGCCCCCTCTGCCTCACCTTGCTCGACCCTGCGCTACCCGATGAGCAGGCGAGAGGCAGGCGAGGGGCTGCCCGGGAGGGGCGTCAACACCGCCTGCCCTCGCACACCCCTCACTGCCCCGCAGAAACCAGGCCTGTAACCAGGCGCCTTCTCAGCGGGCCCCGGGGCAGCCGTGAGCACCAGCGCAGATCCCCACCCGTGTGCCTCCCCGGTGCCTCAAAGTGACAGGAGCACCCACACACGGGCTCCCTTCACCCCCAAAGCCAGGGCTTTGCCCCAGCATCGTCCCCAGGAACCACCGTCCCCCACGGAGCCACAGGGAGAGAGGCTGGGAAGACCCGGGGCTCCCCAGAGCAGGAGCGGGAGCCCCGGCCGGCCGCCTGCCGCACAGTGCCCACCGGCTGAACGGCTGAACGGCGGGACTCGCGCTGCTCCCAGCTGGGGGCAGGGCTGCTGCAGGCCTTCGGGGCACACAGCCCTGGGCCTGCAGGCCCCGAAGCAGGAAAGGGGAAAAGGCAAAGGATGCGGAGTGGGAAAACAAGGAAGGGAAGAGCGGCGGGCGCACACCGCCTGAGGCCGGCGGGCTCACGCAAGCCGCGGCCGCCCGGGACTCAGCGCACCGCGCAGGGCCACACCGCAGGGCCACACCTTCTGCACGTTGGCGTCCTTCCCCAGGCCAGGTATCCCCTTGGCGACCGCTCACCTGCGCGTGCGGGCTGTGGTTCAGCAGATCCAGGTACGGGGCGAGCGCGCAGGTGTCTGGCTCTGCCGAACAGCCGGGCCTCTGCCTGTGCGTCATGTACACGGCTCGCGTGTTGACCGTGCACCAGGCCCACCGCAGGGCGCGGTAGCTGAAGATGCTTTCCACCGCCTCTGCAAACAGGGGCTGCAGCGAAGAGAACAGGCGTCTGGAGGAAGTAAAGAGCCGCCACACGCGGGCTCGCTGCTCTTCCGCCTGGGCTCTCAGAGGCGCGGGAAGAAGGGCCACCGCTTCCGGCTCCCAGCACACCGGGCAGGTGTAGGCCTTTGGCAAAACGTCCAGGTAAGGCTTCCAGAGGGAGCGGGCCCCAGCGTGCCTTTCTGCAACTAAAAAGGTGCACAGAGCCAGGAGAGGAGATGGAGGCGGCTGCCACCTTTAAGGAGCAAAGTCAGATAAAAGGAATTAGCCTCACACAAAACACGGAGGAGGCAAAAGGCCGACGTCCCCACCCCAGAGCAGTGGCCGAGCAAGCCCTGGCTCCACGTTCACTTAGGGCACCCCCAGAGCGTCCTCCTTGCTTGATGCTCCCCTCCAGGGTGCACCCTGAGACAAGCACCCCGAGTGAATCACCCCCTCATGAGTGACAAGCGTCCACTCACTAGGCCATGCTCTGCTGCGTGGGAGAGATGCCCTTTTGTAAGAAACCTTTGCTCTCTGTTTTGAGAGCTCTGCTGGAAATCCACAGTCTGCTTATTTCACTTGAATAAGGATCTGGAATTAGGTGAGCAAAGAGTGGGTGCAACAAGCCTGAACCTGCCCACCTGAACAGGAACCACCGGGAGCCTACAGCTATTACCACTGAACTGTCTAAAACTTTCCATCGCAAGTCCTCAGACAGGCAAGTCACATTTCCAGGAGTTGCAGCCACACGCGGGGGTGCCAACTTGGTGGCTGTCCACTATGTCCCTGTTATGGTTCTAGAGCTTCTGTTCCTCGACTTACCCACCCCTCAAAGCCCAGATCCCATTACCAAACATCACACTCAAAGTTTCAGAAGGCGATGTGACCCGGAGCCTAAGCCCTCAGGCCAAAAGAGATGCGGGGCCCAGAGAGGGGGGCAGTGGTCCTGGAACTTACCTGGGTTAGAGGCAATCCCACCTTTCAGCTCTTGTAATTTAGAAAGAGCTTCTGCCACGCCCACTCCCTCTTCCTCAGAAAGTGCTTCCAAAACAAAGACTGACCATAAAATCACCAGGAAGCAGCCACACATCCCGGGCCAGCCTCCTCTCTTCTAAATAAAACTCATCCTTTCAAGGGATGTCAACAGCTCTTCATAGTTACAGAATTCAAGAAAGTAAACAGGTAAAAAATAGGAGTAACTAGCATCCGTGGAGCCCTCCAAGGCAGGGCTCGGGCTACTGAGTCCAGGTCTCAGCAGCCACACGGGGTACCCACAGCCTGCATTTTCTAGTACCGACATCCGGATTCAGGTCAACACCCCCAATGGCCTCTTCAAAGCCTTCAAAATGCAGTGTCAATAAAAGAAGAATAAGCGTCACAGAACAGAGCGAATTTTTCAAATTGTTTCAGATGTTTATTAGCTACGAAAGCAGAGTGGCCGGCCCGCTGACTAGGTCTTGGGAGGAGCTGGACTTGAACAGGGAGCTGCCCCCCACAGGGGGCGGACGGTCACTTACTTGGCGAGGTGGGCCCCTATGGAGCTTCTCATCACCGTGTCCGTGGTAAGCAGGCAGCTCTCAGGCAACGAAATCACCATCTGCCCCTCCTTCCCAAAGAAGAGCAGACTTCAGCAGCGCATCCTCTGGAAAGCCCGAGCGCGTGGGTGCTCTAATGGCCACTGCCCACCGCCATCAGCTGAGACCCAATGATGACCTGACCATGGCGCACCCAGGAGTCGCCAGCGGCTGGCCCCAAGCTCTGGAGCAGCAAGACCCCAGGCTGTGCACAACCCCAACTGGAACAGAAGGTTCATCACGCGCCCAGTCAGCCTTGCCGCGGCAAGGAATACGGAGACGTTCTAAGAACTCAACCCCTACTGCCTGATGGCAGGAAATAGGGCTGCCTATGGGAACAGGCAGAAAGCAGCCCCCAAAGTCCATCCAGCAAGACCTAAGTGGCTAGGGATGACCCCAGACCCATGCAGCCCAGGTCAACCAGCTCAGAGAGGGTACCCCCCAACACCAGAGTCTCAATTCACGGCCTGCAGAAGCAGAGTTTTCTGCTCCTTCCACAGAGACAGAAACAATAGGGAAAAAACCCAGATGCAAGCCACAGATGCCAGACACAAAAGATAGGAGCGGCCCTGCTTGCTTTAGACGGGCATCCAGAAACTGGTTGGAATCGCAGTCAGGATCTTCCGGGCTCCACTTCCGGTCTCCTCGCCCCAAAGCTGGATGTCACTGCACATCCAGCATCCAACACCCAGGGCTTCCTGATTTTTTAAAAAGCCACTTAACGGAACTCTGTATCCTGATTGGGGCTAATCTCCCCATCACCAAAATTCACCCAAACGGGCACGTCGGATCTGTGCGTCTCTGGGTAAGTGCCGCGTCCTCGTTCAGCAGAAAAGGCCTGGGGGGGAGCGCGTGAGAACTGCGCCAGCTCACGACCTGAACAAAGCTACCGGCGGCCTCCCCAGATGCTGCAGAATAAAGCCCATCTCTCCACCCCTCAGAAGCCCATCTCTCCACCCCTGCAGACGTGTGCGTGTACTCGATGCTGCTGCACTTAAAAGCGGCCCAGACGGCCAATGGCATGTTATGGTGGGTTTCATGTGGTGTGCACTTTATCACGTTAGGCATTTTTAAATAAAAAACAATTAACGTGAGAGAACCGTTCCACAATAGGTACTATTCCTTAGGTCAAACATAGGTGACACAGCTGGGTTTCAAATAAACTCAGGACTTAACTGTAAGTAAAAATAATTAAAACTAAATGGCAGGAATGGTTTATAAAAGAAATAACACATTTACATTAACCGTCCTTAAAGCAGCATTTCAATGAGCAAAGCACCTTCAAGGACACCTTGGTCATCATCTCCCTTCTCATCCCCTCCGAAGCCGGGGAGTGGGGAGCCCGGGCTCCCTCGGCCTCTCCGGGCACTGCTGCCTGAGAACCGCCTCTCGTGTGGCCAGGCGCCCACGTGGCTCATGAGAAACGTGGTCTGATTTACAAAATTTTCTCTGTGAGATGGCTGCGTCCTCGCCGCAAGTCTCTCTCCTCCGCCAACAGCAGCTGGCAGCCGGCGCCTCCTCCCTCACAGCTGGGCAGGGCTGGCCACTGGCAGGTGAGTGTGGGCGGGATTCCCCCTCCCCGAGCAGCCCACTGCCGCTGAGGCGAAGGCACTGGGAGCAGCCGGTGGCCTCAGAGTAAACCACTGTAGAGGGGGCTGGCTGGGGGCTGTCTCAGATGCAGCAAACTTAATCCGAACCCAAATGGACAGAATGTTCCTAGTTTGACAGAATGTTCCTAGTAGGTAAAGAAGAAATGCCTCTTGTCTGGAATATTTTCAGTTTACTTGTTCTGAACCACTAGGAAAAAGTTACGAAACAGACAGTGGGTCTGAGGACAGAGAAATACCCACCTGCAGCGAGGTTTTGGTCATCAGCCCTCGGCCTGTACCTGCGGACACAGACGGAAAAGGGATAAGTCATGCTGTCACTTTGAGGTCCCAGGAGACACCGTTGTGAACAAAAGATGTAACTTCAAAGTCACGCGAGGCTGAGGCTAGGGACTCGGGGTTCCCAACCCCAGAGGGACGTGGGCTGCAGGGCCTCCCCAGAGCACAGGCTTTTATTACCCACGGCCTGCTGCTGCAGGCAGAGGGCAGTTAAGCCGCCAGCCAGCTACAGAGCCAGGCAGACGTGACGGGAATGTCCCGTCTGCTAACATGTCAGGGCCTGGCCTGTGAGGCCCTGGAGGACCCTAATCCTCTTTGAAAAGCACCCCAGTCCTCCCCAGGTTGCCTCCAGCCCACTTCTGTGCTGAACTGGGGCTGTGTATACAGGCACGGGCCCAAAGCCAGCACCTCCATTTCTGGGAATGCTCACGAAGAAAATACTGAGCCAAACTCCCCAAACAAGTGCCTCACTTTTCAGGAAGAAGGTGTTAAGCCACAAAGCAGCTTCTCAGCTTCCGGAAGAGAACACTAACCCACTTGGGTCAGGGGCCTGGCGAAGCTGTGGGTGCAGAGTGCTCCCGACACACCTGGGGAGCACCGCGCAAAGCTGACCAGGGAGCGCCGTCTGCTGAGGCCTCCTCAGGGCTCCTGGATCCTCACACTGCAGAGCAAGCCCCTCGGGGGCTGTGGGGCGCCACCCTGCCCCTCTCACAAGATGGCTCTGGCTCCCCTGCGCTGTGGGCAAATATACCCCTCCTGCAGGGGAGGAGACACCGCCCCCAGGTCTAAGTGCCAGGAATACCCGCGCTTCTGCTGGTAAAAGTGTGGCTTCCTTACAGAAAGCGAAGGCCCTGGTAACAGACCCCGGCCGCAGTCTGGGCCGCTGCAAAGGCGGTCGAATTTCAGGCCTGAAAGTTTTATAATCACGTCTTTTGTCTACTCTCATCACCCCAGCCTTCGTCTGAGTTTTCTCTTCCCATTTCCAGTTTTTCATTTTAATTTTATTTCACCATTTTGGAATTTCTCCCCACAAGCCACTTCAACCATCTTTTAGAACAAAGTAAAGTCATAAAAATACCACAGTGACCAGGCAGGAAGCGGGGCGCCCGGGAGGTCACAGCCCACCGGCGAGAAGCAGCAGCGGGGCCCCCACCTGAGCCCGCGCCGCCCACGGGAGACGGCCACGACACCTGGAGGCCAGACCTCACCTGGAAAATGAGCCGGAATTAAGTTTGTGTCTTCAAACTTCCTATCTCTCAACCACTTCTTCAGCGCTACAAATTCCGGCTTGTGGCTCTCGGTCACTAGGCCACAAAATACAATAATTAAAATCACTAATGCAATCAGTCACCATTAACAAAAATCTCTGGTGAAATTCTGTCATATCCCACAAATACATTTCAAGGCAAGCGCATGTATCGTCAGCAAAGGGAGAAAAGCCACAGGATTATCGGAAAGGTACAGGGAAAGCGCAACTGAAGGTAAGAACCAACATTCGTTCCTGACCAGGCCTCTCGGCGAGCAAGGACAGCAGCAACTGCCAACACCTGATGGAGAAAAGCCAACGAGAGATCTACAGCTGACACCTTCAAGGCTAAGGAGCCGAAAGGCCTCCCAGTGGGGCCTGGGGTGAGTCTCAGCGCTGTGAAGCCATCCACAGCCACTGCAGCACGAGCCCGACCCCCGGCCAGGGAGGGACCCACGGGGCCCTGCAGACCACTCCTGTCTCCCTGCTGTTCCCTCCAGTGGATTTCGGTCCATCTGCCTGTTCTGCTCCCCGCTCTAGGGAGTCCTCTTACCCCACACCTCTGGCCTATGCATAAATAAACAAATCTTTTTTAAAAAATGTGTTGTCTCAATAAATGGACACACAATAAAACTCCGTGTTTCTACGGAGAAGTTCTGGACATGCTGCGTGGCTAACCCTGAGGGCATCATGCTCAGGGCAAGCGGCCGGCCACAAGCAAACCAACATATGACTCTGCTTCAGGGCTGTCCCTAGAACACTCTGTCCATGGACACAAAGTAGCACAGGAGCTGCTGACACGAGCTATGCAACCTCTGTCGTCAGACACGGTTCGGATAGAGGGGAATTGCTCTGAAAAATCAGACTTTCCACGCTTACTCATGTTCTGACCTCCCTTTTTTGTATAATCATAATATCAAAATATTCTGAGCAACTTTCAGCTTACAATTGGATTGCCTCAGCCGCACAAGGCCTGTCTGCCTTGACAAGCAAGCACTGCACCAGGGTGAAAAAATTCCCCTGAAATCAAGTGACTTGACTACTGACTGATAAATAAAAGCAAAAGGGCTGTTTTTGCAAAGTCTCTCTCACTGCCGGATGGAGGATAACCCAAATCTTATCATTCTATTATCTCACCTAGCCTTCTATTCAGCTTTTTAAAGAATTACTCAAACTTCCTATTGTTTGGCCTTTAGATGTGGAAATTCATCCAGTTTGCTTGTTTTTTAAACTAATCAAGTTTTCCACCTACTACACCATAAAGGAATCCACAAAAGTCTTCTGGCTAGTTTTTTCAGGATTCTGCTATGTAGTCTCTAGATAAAGAAACCCACCTATGTCTCCTATGCAGAGATTTGATTAGCAAGGAATTTCCTCTTCTGTCTCCCAGGATGATTAAGGCAGAAAAACAAACCCATTAAATAGTAGATAAGGTGTAAGGGACTTCTTAGTTGATCTCCACTATAGTAATATTAATCATAGATTTTGTGCACTATGTACCTGTTTTTTACTTTGATTGATTTTAGAATGTTGTAATCTCAAGCAAGGGTCAAAACAACCCCAAACTGTTCTTAGGAAAAACAAAGATGATTATAATCTCTCAATCCAGTTCCTGTGCTGATATCATCCTACTTACTCCTAATGTATAAAATAAACCTCTGCTGAAGGCAGAGCAGGAAGATTTGCATCCAACTCTGCTTCCCGTGTCTTCCTCGCTCCCACTCTCCAATTTTTAGAATATCGCCTCGCCGACGTCGTTCCCACCTTGAGACTCTGCCCGTGATAGCCTCTCTAACAACCTGACATTAGGGGCTGGTTCCCGACAAGCTGCTGGCTGCAGGAGAGAGGGAAATACAAATGCAAACCACAGAAAGACAGCACTCACACCCTTTAAGATAGCAGCGCAGGAGCAGCGATAACAAGTGTGATAGGCCCGGGCGCAATCGCTTGGAGCTGCCCCTGGGATGTGCTGGCACACCACCGCTTTGAAGTTTGGCACTTACTTTCAAAGAAACTCCCATGTCCCACCTGATGCAGTCACGCTAGTCCTGGAGAGGCCCCGCTAGCGAACGCTCACAGGCGCTCTATCGTAATAGACAAAAACCGAAAGCAACCGCATGTCCGTCCACAAAATAGACGAGTCCGGAATACAGTCAGCGATCAAAGGGATGAAAGGGGCGCCACTGACACACCCAACAGACCAGCACCGGTCACTGTGCTGAGGAAAAGGAGCCAGAGAAAAGAAAGAATGCACAGTCTGTGAGCACAGAAAACTAAAATGCAAACAACCGTGACAGAAGGCAGGCCAGCGGCCGCCTGGGGTGACAGAGGGGGCGATTCAGAGGAGCAGGAGAGGTTACAAGGGGAAACCAGGATGCTCCTGGGGTGCTGGCTAGATTATCTTGACTGTGATGAGTCTCCAGTGTGAATCCCGAAGTCAGAATCAAATTGCAGCTGACCCTTGAACGACTGAGCACCCTGCAAGGTCCAAGATCCACACAGCACTTTTGACTCCCCAAAAGCTAACAGTCTGCCATTAGTCAGAAGCTTTAACAATCGCATAAACAGCCAATTAACATGCTTGTATGCTTATGTACTATCTACTGTATTCTTAAAATTTAAGAAGCTAAAGAAGATAGTATTTTATAATAATACTGTTGAAATTACTATTATAGAATTTATCAACACAGTAAGTTTCCATCTTCTGTTTGCAAGATGAATTATCTGTTGGAACCTGCATCTCCATTGGCATTATGACACAAAATACCGCAGCTGTTACACATACTACTAACACAAGACATCAAACATGAAAAGATAATGTAAAAAAAGAAATTCACAAACCTCCAAAAGGTTTCCAAAGTATTTACCCAATATATCGTGTGTGAGTGGACCCTCAAAGTTCAAACCCAGGTTGCTGAGGGACAACTGCATGTGCTTTAAGTGACAGTCACCTTATGTCCCTGACACTGCAATAAAACTATCCTTTTGGGGCCCTCCCTGGTGGCACAACAGGTTGGGACGCAGCACTACAAGCTGTCTGCAGCCGCCTCAGTGCAAGTTTGACCCCTGACCCCAGAGGTGACCCACAGGGCGCAGCAGACCTCTCCTGACCCACCCACTGCTCCCCTCAGCAGTGTACTTCGTTCATCTGCCTGTTCTGCTCCCCACTCTGTCTCTGTTTATTCTCCCCCCCCCCCCCTGCACCTCTGGCCTGTACCCCAGTTCTGTAAGCATAAATAAATAAATCCTTAAAAAAAAAAAAAAACTATGCTCCAAGATAGAAGACTCCCAAGAAATGTTCTTGCAAACTAGGTAACAGATCTTACTGTAAGAGCAACTTATCAATGAGAACATCCAATGAGCAAATACTAGACTCACAGCACTGTGAACTCCCTCGGGCAACTTTCACTGTGCTCTTTACCTGCAAAACGTTGACAATTTAGTTGGGAAAAAAGGCTCAAAAGGCAGAAGAATGAAGAGTCCCGGATGAAAGTGCTCACAGGCTGGGGTTCAGCTAGGAGTGTAGTGGAGTGACCACCTCATCGAGGTGGCACTGATACTTCCCAGGAGGCGAAGGTCACTCCTAGACAGCACCTTGTTCAGACTGGTCATACTGAATTTGAAATGATGAAGTCATAGTGACTCTCCTGGGAGCGAGACACCAGGACCAGAACCAGAAACCTAGGAGCCGCCCTCAAGACACAGTGGAAGCACGAGAAACGGCTGCACCACCCCCTCCCCCAGAGGTACAAAGGGTGAACGGCAGTGACAGAGACTGCTGAGGAAAAATGCTCTCTGCCCACGGCCTCTGCATAAAGTCCTGTGCCAGCACTGACCACGAAGGACTCCATCCCACCAAGGCGTGAACCCACCTCCTCCAGAGCCGGGATTCAGGCAGCGTTTCCGTCTTCTGATCCGGCTTGTCCTTCCTCTTCCCTTCTTCATGCTAAAACTCATGTGTCCAGGTAGGTGTCCAATATGAAATATTGCCTCAGTTTATAGCTGCATGCTGATCACTGTTCTTCATACCTATGAGGGTTTAAATATACACACGAATGTTACTCGGTAAACTGCTGCTCTAAGTCTGTAGGCAAAACATTTGCACTGAGTTCAATCCTGACCCTCTGCGCAGCTATGAAATGCTGCTCATAATGGTCTCGGGATCAAAGGGCTTTATCCTAAGGCCCTACTAAATGCTGAGTAAGGAGGCCTCTTCACCTGGTGTTTTGGCATCTCAGTTCTAATCAACATCTAGTATGCATGAACCAATGAGACTCTGAATAAACAGAAGCTGTGAAGCCACAGTCACTGAGAAGTCTGATTTTAAAAAAGAAAAAAACTGCCCGTGGGGACTCCCTGGTGACCTCAAGGTTAAATCTCAGTGATATCACCTCTGCTGCCCTTGGCCCTCCCACAGCAATGGCAAAAGCAGCCTGAATCTGAACCCTGGCCAGGGAGCTGACCCACATGCCCAGAAGACCTCTCCTACTTTGCCCACTGCTGCCCTCAGCAGTAGATCCCCCTGTTCAGCTCCCCACTCTTGTCTCTGGCAACCTCATCCCACCTGCGACCAACACCACAATACTTCTAAGCAAGAATAATTTTTTTTTCCAAAGCAATGTATGTTGGTGGAACCTAGACCCTGAAATCAACAGTTAAAAAGAACTTTGCAACAGATTTGGGAGAAAATGAAAGTCAAAAAGTAGACAAAACAAAGAAATGGTGAGGAAATCTAAAATAACCACTCAAGTTTCTCTATGCTACTTCTTTGGAAGCATAACAAAAGCCATTAAACAAAAGCCATTAAACAAAAGCCATTAAACAAAATCCATTAAACACAACGGCATGACAGGAATATTATAGGCTGGAGTATTATGCAACTATTAAAAGGGAAAATGTACAGTAGAGAACCCTATCAGGGAACGGGATGTCAGACAGCCATTAATAGGAAAATTATACGCTAAAATACAGAAATACCCAGTATATATTAAGTGAAAAAATAAAGTTGCAGAACATTTGAAACTCAGTGAAAATTTTGGGGTTTTTTTGGAGTGCATTATGTGTATTTAAAAAACAAGTTTAAGAAAGGATATTCAAAAATTGGCAGAGGGAGGCTACTTTTACTACTCTGTGTCCTGTCCTGAGCCTTACGTGAGTACATAGGAGAGATTATGTGACTCGTATCGCCTATATGTGCATACAGCTGTTTTTAAAACCTACTACTAAAAAATAGCAGACAACAGGGAGATTCACGGTCTGATCTACCCCCAGTGAGTCACTGACACCGCGCCGGGCCGCCAGCGCCCCGCGACAACCTCCACTGCTCGCTGCAGGTGGCGGGAAACAACGCCCCGCCCCGCCCCGCCCCGCCCCGCCCACTCCCGCGCATGCGCACGCGCAGGGGGATTCACGCGCCGCGGCCCCGGCCCCGGCGCCGGAGCAACGCTCCACGACTAGCGCTCTCGAAAGAGACGACCTCCGCGTGGTGGGAGGTTCTGTCGAGCGCAACGCGGCGCCAGGCCTGCTGAGGCCCCGGGTCTGGGCTGGGTTTTCCTTTTCACACCAAAATATTAAATTCCCCGAACACTTGGGCAGGCCCCGCCCCGGAAGTTCGTCTCTCACCTCCAAGATGGCGGCGACGGGCGGGCCGAGCGCAGGCGCAGACGGGAAGCCCAGTACAGTGCCCGCCAGTTGGGCCCAGGGCTGAGTTCAAGAAATGCGTGAGGCAGCAGAGGGAGAGTCCAGTCGCCTCCAGGGCCGCCTCCTGTCCACCCACCACGCATCCAGTGTCCGGAAAGAGCCGTCCAGTTCCAGCGCGCCTTCGCCGCCCGGTCTGCGCATGCGCCATGTCGTCACGCGCGGGGGACGCCCGGCCCCGCCCATTCCGAAAACCGCTATATAGGAGTTGGGGGAAAATGACTTTAAAGTCGGGGAATCCGACAACACTCCCCTGGCCAAGTGATGAGGGCCAACCTCATCAGTGCTAAATTGTCCTTCAGGTACAAGGAGGGTACTTCCCTTCCATGGTTTTCCTCCCCAAAACCCATCACCCCAGTTCTTCCTTAAAAACATCAGACAAAAAAAAAAACAGAAAAACATGGGACAAAACCAAAAACCCCTGTTTTGTCCCAACTTCTGTGACCGGCCTCAAGAAAGGAAGGAGGGAGGCAGAAAGACTGAGCAAGCAGTTTATTGCTCCCGAACAGCAGCTGAGAGGGAGCCCCTAGACTGGGGTCCTCAGCTACTGCCAGCCCTGTGGGGGACGGGTCTCATATAGATTCTAAACTCAGATTCCAAAGGGGCGACTCATCGCTGTGTCCCTTGATGTAAGGCCCAGTTTGATATCACCTTCTTCTAGTCCCATCCCGGATGCCAGGCCCAGTTAATTGGACGCAAAACCCAGTTTATTACCGCCTTATCACCCTTGGATGCAATGCTTAATTTATTACTGCCCTTATCCAGCCCCTCAGTAAATCTCTGCACTTGGTCACTCCCAACACTGACTAGTGCTAAAATCTGTCAAAGTTCATGAAAAACAAGTAAACTGGGCCCTCCCTGGTGGCACTGCAGGTTAAAGCACAGCTCTAAGAGGCTAAAGCCACTTCAGCATGAGTTCAATTCCCGCCCCGAGGTGACTCACATGGTGGTGACCCACAAGGCTCAGCAGACCTCTCCTGACCGGCCCGCTGCTCCCCTCAGCAGTGTACATTTTCAGTACATTTTCCTGTTCTGCTCCCCATTCTGTCTCTGGTGAATCCTCTCACCGCCCCTGCACCTCTGGCCTGTACCCCAGTTCTATAAACATAAATAAGTCTTCAAAACACACACACGCACACAATCTCAGAATTTGTCATAAGCCAGAGACGACCGTGCAATGTGGTTTTCTGGAAGGAATCTTACTGCCCTCCAAGTAAATCGTGAAACTTGGCTAAATGGTCTGAGGTCTGCACTCTAGCAGTAAGATACTGCTAATAGGAGAAATGCTTAAGGAGGTTATGGGCGGTCTCATAAGAATTTGAGAATTTATTGAAAGGGGGATCTGGAAATAGATGATCCCTGGTTTAGATCCATGATTCAATCACGTCAGCAAGGATGAGGGAGCTTTCTCACTTTTCACAACACCATCTCTGGGAGTTAGCTTTCAGTTTGTGTCCTCCAGGTCTCGAGGTTGTTGCTGTAGCATTCAGCATCACATTCTCGCACAAAATCATTTAAGACAGGAACACAAGGATCAGATGACACAGGTACTTTCCTTTCATGGTGGGAGAACATAATGTACACTCCCGACTTCTAGATGGGGACTTACAAAGTCCCACCCCGAACTAATTTGTGAACTTCAGGAAGATCCATTTCCTCCCTTTACACACGGGGCTATTAGGATGCATCCAGCCTGGCGCTGGGCGAGAGCAGGTGTCCCTGACACCTCTCAGTACCTGGCCACTAGTGGGGGTGCCTCCTCTGTTGATCTAGTAAACAGCACCGGCTTTTACTCGAAAACCCGACCAAGGATTAGCCAGCGCTTCGCTTTCTGTTAGGGGAGAGATCGGCTCACGCCAGAGCGCTTGCCCAGTTCACTGCCCGGTGGCCATCCCGAAACTTCAAAAACTTAGGCTCGGTCTTCAGCAGACTACCCTGAAGGCGCCCGATCGCGCCTGATCTTAGACGCTAAGCTGGGTCTAGCCTGGTTAGTACTTGTTTGGGGGACAACAACTTAGCCCTGGTGGGCATCTTAAAAAAAAAAAAGAAAGAAAAATAGAAAAAAAAAATGTCTGTACAAATGCCCGGTGTGTCCGACTTATTCAAGCAGAACTGCGCGGAATACTGGGGGTCACCGGGTAAACCTCGGAGCCCCAAGGTGCGCGCCGGCGCGCCTTGAGCGGGGTGCCGGCCGAGGCCGCAGTCGGCTGTTCGGCTCCCCGGGCGGGTTCCGTAA